CTCTGACAATTCGGAACAGCTCAGCTGGACGGTTCTTTGCAGACGCAATAGTGGCCGCAAAGAAGGCCTTCTTTGCGGCTTTTATTGCCGCGGCATATGCCCTTAAAAAGGACACAAACCGTGTTCGATTTGGCTCACTCGGATCCGAACGCCACACACTCTCTAGTTCCCTCTTCCTTCGCTTCATCGCTGCCAGCTCCTCGGTGAACCAGGGAGCTGGTTTAGCTCGGCTACTTGAGAGGGGACGTTCCGGAGCGATCGTGTCAATTGCCCTAGTCATCTCCCCATTCCAGAGAGTGACCAGGGCCTCGACAGGATCACCTACCGAGGCGGCGGGAAACTCCCCAAGAGCCATCAGGAATCCATCCGGATCCATAAGCCTCCTGGGGCGGACCAACTTAATGGGTCCTCCACCTCTGCAGAGGTTAGGGGGCGCAGTGAGCCTAAATCTGACCAGGAAGTGGTCGGTCCATGGCAACGGAGAGATGGTCAGCTCCTCGACCCCACCACCTTCCTCCCATCCCTGGCAGAAAACCAAGTCCAATGTATGTCCTGCACTATGAGTGGGGCCAGATACTTGCTGGGACAGCCCCATGGTTGCCATGGCAGACATGAAGTCCTGAGCCGCTCCTGAAAGGGCCGCCTCTGCATGGACATTGAAGTCCCCCAGCACAAGGAGCCGCTGGGATTCCAATGCCAGACCTGAGACCACCCCCGCTAGCTCAGGTAAGGAGACTATAAATATACCCTTTCTCTGTAGAAAAGGAGCAACACGGAAGAAAATGTTTTTAAGAAACAAGATGTGACATGTAGCTTCTTGTACCTGCAGTACCTTCTTGTACCTGCAGACTCTGCACTTAACCATAACCTTTGAACTTAACCATAACACAACTACTTCCTATGTAGGCTTGAACTTTGTTTGACCTATGTAGGCTTGAACTTTGTTTGACAAGAAGGTCAAACAAAGTTCAAGCCTACATAGGAAGTAGTTGTGTTGAGGTTAAGTTCAAAGGTTGTGGTTAAGCGCAGAGTCTGCAAGTACAAGAAGGTACTTACCATCAAAAGGTCAAGGGAGAGGAGCTGGAAAGAGAGTACTTTCCATGACCTATTACTTGAGTATAAAAGTCAGCAGAAACAGAGGAGGGGTGCAAGAGTCTTTGAAAGCACAAACAGAAGTGTTTCTGTCCGTCTCATGTTGATCAGCTTGGTTAAATGGTGTCTTACATGAACCAATTGGACTCTGTGGATTTCTTTGAAAAGGGACCCCGCACTCTAAACCCATGATCCTTTACACCAGGATGCCTTGAGGACAATTTTTCCTTTTTAAAAAGGTCCCTCTGTTCTCCCCAAAGACCAGAGGAAACCTTTTGTAATGACACAGAGTGACATACTGTTTTTTAAAAAGGCCTCCTCTGGCCCTAAAATGCTCCTCTTTGGACCCATGGATACTATAACAGCCTTGGGGGAACACAAGTGGACTCCCAGTCTCACTTTAGCCACCTCACTGATCTGGGAATGGGGCACAGCGATACTATGGGGTGCTTTGCTACTTGGAGGATACAGGGGAGAGGCTACAGGTCCGATGCATTACAGATGTCCCTCTCAACTTTGCAGACAGCATGGAGCTCTGAAGTAGGCGGGAGGAGTGCCCATCCTTCTCAAATACCAAGCGCTGGTGAGACCATCACACCAAAGAAGGATCCGCTCACCTGGCAGGAAGGAGTCTCTGCCTCCCCAGCAGCCGTGGAGAAGGTGAGTGGCACTAGCTTGTTTTATATATCTATCTATCTATCTATCTATCTATCTATCTATCTATCTATCTATCTATCATCTATCTATCTCCACACACACACACACACACACACATACTTTACTTGCTTAGGCGATCCCTCGCAGTCTGAGGATGATGGTCCTCTAAGTGTAGTATCCTGGTGATGGGTCCGTAGGTGACTGTGGAGTCCCATTCTTGACCTGCATGTTCTCCTGCAGTGAGGGCATCGGTTTCCAGGTGGAAGGCGGTCCCGGTTGTGGTTGGCTTGACATGCCATCCTCTTGGCATGTTTCTCTCTTTCGCCCTCCATTCGTGCCTCTTCAAATTCTGCAGCACTGCTGGTCACAGCTGACCTCCAACTGGAGCGCTCAAGGGCCAGGGCTTCCCAGTTCTCAGTGTCTATGCCAGAGTTTTTAAGGTTGACTTTGAACCTGTCTTTAAAACTCTTTTCCTGCCCACCAACATTCCCTCTTCCGTTCGGAATAGAGCAACTGCTTTGGGAGACGGGTTGGGCATCTGGAAAACATGGCCAGTCCAGCGGAGTTGATGGCGGCGGACTATTGCTTCAATGCTGGTGGTCTTTGCTTCTTCATCCAGCATGCTGACATTTGTCCGCCTGTCTTCCCAAGAGATTTGCAGGATTTTCCGGAGGCAGCACTGATGGAATTGTTCCAGGAGTTGCATGTGACATCTGTAGACAGTCCATGTTTCGCAGGCATATAGCAGAGTTGGGAGGACAATAGCTTTGTAAACAAGCACCTTGCTATCCCTATGGATGTCCCAGTCCTCAAACACTCTCTGCTTCATTCGGAAAAATGCTGCACTCGCAGAGCTCAGGCGGTGTTGAATTTCAGTGTCAATGTTGACTTTTGTGGAGAGATGGCTGCCAAGGGAGCAGAAATGGTCAACATTTTCTATTTTTTTCTAATGTATATATATATCTCATCCACATATCTGAACCATATAGTGGACTATTTTGTTGCTGTATTAGTAAACTCATAAAAGTCGTGGTATGCTTTGGTACCATTGTTGTGCCACTAGTCTAGAGACCAGATCTTATCACACTGAAATATAATTTATATCAATATGCAACCCATATTAATAAGGAGTGGATGCACACTGTATTTAGATGGGATGCACACTCTTCTCCATCCCACCTGTTTATTACGTTTTTTACCATTTGAAAAGACTGTGCTTTTGACTGATCACATCATGGAAGACTGGCTCCTCCGAATCCGTTTACATCCTTTTAAGTCCTGAACTAACTTTTAAGTCTGGAACTAACTTGCTTCCAAGATTATAGCTGACGAAATGCATACAGATTTTCCAATCACATGTAAAGACAGCGCTTTGGCAATGTATAAAATCTTAGTAAATGAATTTAAAAATCATGATTAGAATCCCATGCACAATGACTCCGTTTCTGTGACGTTTTGCAAACTGATCCCAATGGATGACTGATGGAATGAGGGAAATGTTATGCAATAGGTCCATTCAGAAATGGTGTTCAAAGACTCTCAGAAATGGAGCACATCTCAATGTGACAAGGTCACTAGGACACGGAGCAAAGGATTTCAATTGTAGGAAAAGAGATTCCACTTAAACTTTAGTAAGAACATCCTGACGTTAAGAGCTGTTTGACCAGGGAGTTGTTGTGGCTGAGATGTTCTCTGATGATGAGGATGATAGGATTCAGATTCCTGGCTTTTTTCTGTGCCTCAGATCTCTGGGCCTGCTTCTAGGTCTTTTTCCGAGGCTCCCACAGACAGTGCAGAGTCAATACAGCGGTTTTCAGAAGAAAATAATTTTAACGAAGGAGATAGCGAACAGGTGGGGAGGCATTTGCCTCCTTCCCACGCTGATACTGAAACCTTGATAGTGACCTGACCCGGCAAGCTTGTCTTGATTTGTGGGTCAGGCGGTGTTTTCACCTGGCCAGCAGATGAGAAGCCAGCTCGGGGAAAGGTCATCGCAATGCTTTCATGTTGGTGACAGCATAATGTTTTCATGTTAGAAAGGTATTATTTAGGCTTCTTGCAAACTAAGGGAAAGCGTCAGTTCAACGTAGCTTATTAGCCTGAAAGCTTCATGGAATAACCTTAATCTGGAAAGCAGTACGCTTGGGATTTCTTGCATTGTGATTCTTGGGGCAATTGTTTCATTGCTTGTACCTTGGACTTTGTTTTGAACTTTGCCTATAGGATTGTGCCTCCTGTTTTCCCCTGAAGATCTTTGCAACTATATTCTGCATTTAACCTAAATGTTTGGAACTTTGTAATGCTTATTCTTTATTTTGACTTGGACTTTTTCCTCAATAAACTACAAAACTACAGCTCTTGTGTGGTGGTGTTTGAAAGGCAGGTGAAGCTTACTCTGAGTTGCAACAGGAGTCTGCTTTCTGGGAGTCCAGTGGAGGTTCTGAAACGGAGGCTGGTTGGTCATCTGTTGAGAGAGATTCATTCATGTCTTCCTGCATGACAGAAGGGGGTTGGACTGGATAGCCATTCGAGCTGTAAGGGATTGTGGGAGTTGGAGTCCAAAACAATTGGAGGACACAAGTTTGCCCATGCCTGCCTTAGGGGGTCTCTACCAACTGTATGATTCCAAGTAGTTTCTGGGGCCTCTATCTATCTATCTATCTATCTATCTATCTATGTATCTATGTATTGGCCTTTTTAGGTTCTCTTTCTCAAAACCCGCGAGCGTGCTCCAGACACCGCGATCTTGCTGAGCAGCTGCACAGATGGGTACATCTACGCTTGGGCTCTTGGCAACAAAGGAGGCCTGATGGGCAAATTCCGCGCAGCCCACAAACCCGGCCAGCTCTCCTCTGTCTGCTCTATGTGCACTGACGACAACGACTTGGTCCTCTTCACTGCAGATTCCTTGGGATACATCAAGGTCGGTATGCCTGTTTGGCTTCAATTCAAAGTGCTGGTCTTGACCTATAAAACCTTATATGGTTCTGGCCCAGCTTACCTGTCTGAACGTATCTCCCTCTATGTCCCACCTCGCAGTTTAAGATAATCTGGGAAGGCCCTGCTCTGGGTCCTGCCAGCCTCGCAAGTGCGCTTATTTATTTACTTTATTTATATACCGCTTTTCTCAGCCCTCAGGCTTGGCGAGGACAAGGGACAGGGCCTTCTTGGTGGTGGCCCCGTGCCTGTGGAACTTGCTCCCCAGTGAGATCAGATTGGCATCTTCCATCTTCTTCCAGAAAGAAGGTTAAAACATGGTTCTGGGACCAGACCTTTGGACAGCAAGCATGACAGCACTTTAGATGTTGAATCGGACTGGAATTGACTATATGGATTGATGACAAAGTTGTTAATATGTTTTTAACTTAATGTCCTATTTACTGTTTTAAACTGTTGTTATATTTGTTTATATTTATATTATCTTGTGGCATCGAATTGTCACTGGTGTAAGCCACCCTAAGTCCCCCCTCAGGGTTTTAGAAAGGCCGGTTAGAAATGTGGGAAATGTATTTATTTGTCGTGTCAGGGCAACCAGTCAATTGTATTACATTTCTAACAGAACAAAACAAACAAACAGACAGACAAAACACAAAATTTGCAAGTTTGGTAGTTGATTAATTGTCCTTTGACCAGTATCTGGCCACTTGGAGCGCTTCTGGTGTTGCTGCAAGAAGGTCCTCCATTGTGCGTGTGGCAGGGCTCAGGTTGCATTGCAGCAGGTGGTCAGTGGTTTGCTCCTCTCCACACTCGCATGTTGTGGATTCCACTTTGTGGCCCCATTTCTTAAGGTTGGCTCTGCATCTCGTGGTGCCAGAGCGCAGTCTGTTCAGTGCCTTCCAAGTCGCCCAGTCTTCTGTGTGCCCAGGGGGGAGTCTCTCATTCAGCCATTGGTTGAGGTTCTGGGTTTGAGCCTGCCACTTTTGGACTCTCGCTTGCTGAGGTGTTCCAGCGAGTGTCTCTGTAGATCTTAGAAAACTATTTCTTGATTTAAGTCGTTGACGTGCTGGCTGATACCCAAACAGGGGATGAGCTGGAGATGTCTCTGCCTTGGTCCTGTCACTATTGGCTGCTACTTCCCGGCAGATGTCAGGTGGTGCAATACTGGCTAAACAGTGTAATTTCTCCAGTGGTGTAGGGCGCAGACACCCCGTGATAATGCGGCATGTCTCATTAAGAGCCACATCCACTGTTTTAGTGGTGAGATGTGTTCCACACTGGGCATGCGTACTCAGCAGCAGAGTAGCATAGCGCAAAGGCAGATGTCTTCACTGTGTCTGGTTGTGATCCCCAGGTTGTGCCAGTCAGCTTTCGTATGATATTGTTTCTAGCACCCACTTTTTGCTTGATGTTCAGGCAGTGCTTCTTGTAGGTAAGAGCACGGTCCAGAGTGACTCCCAGGTATTTGGGTGCGCTGCAATGCTCCAGTGGGATTCCTTCCCAGGTGATCTTCAGAGCTCGGGATGCTTGTCTGTTCTTGAGGTGAAAAGCACATGTCTGTGTTTTGAATGGGTTGGGGATCAGCTGCTTAGAAGATGCTTTATTTTATGCATATTTCAAAGACTGTGTAAATATGTTGCACTGCTGATTTTTGTGTGCAGCATTGCCAGTTTTGTTTCATCTCTGCAAAGTAAAGAAAGTAAAGATTTTCTGTTTACCTTGACTATTGATCTGAGACTATTTTGCATCTGGGTTTTTGGGCGTTAGGATGCTGGATTAAAACACGCGCTGTATAACATATTTTGCCTGGAGAAAAGAAGGCAACATGAGAGCCATGGTTATATATTTGAAAGGAAGTCACATTGAGGGGAGGGCAAGCTTGTTTTTGCTGCTCCATAGACTGGGACACAATGGATTCCAATGGCAGGAAAAGAGATTCCACCTAAACATCAAGAAGAACTTCATGACATCTGCTGCTGTCTGGGAGTGTGGTGGAGTCCCCTTCTCTGGAGGTTTTTAAGCAGATGGCTCTCTGTCAGGAGGGTTTGGATGGTGTCTTACTGCATGGCAAAAGGGGCAGGATGGGATGGCCTCTGGGTGCACCTTCCAACTTTATCATCCTGTTTTGCAAATGGAATGGTGCATATGCTTAAACCAGTGTGATTGTGCTGGTACAGCTGTACCAGGAGCTCCAACTTTATTTTCTTTCTGTTATCTGCTTGCAGTCATAGGGCAGGGCTCCTGTCCATCATAATTAAGCTTTGGTTCCACCCCTTGTTCAGGGCTCTGGGAGGGAAAGGAGCCATTTTTTTGGGCTGTCTCTCATAAGGAAGCTAAACTATAGGATGTAGACCAGCTTGTCCCGTAGAAAAGCTTCTTTTCTCATGAACATCCGGGGAAACAGAAATTCCAGGGGAAAAGGTCCCAAGGCTCTGGCTGAGAGCTCACAGCCTCTCAGCCTCACAGCAATCAGAGGGAAAACAGCCCTGAAGTTTTCAAAGAATTCTCTGAGTGAGGACAGCACTACAGATCCACGGAACTCCATCTGAAATATCTACAAGCCTCGGCTGGTAGGTCTACCCGATGCCCAGACACATTTGGAATCGGTAGTAGGACCCACACCGATGAGGCATAGATAGAAAGCAGCCTGAGAGGTTGAAAAGGGTTTTTCCTACAGAGAAAGTACAGTTAATCAAAGACAGGTACCAGTCCATTGAGGACTAGACTAAGAAAGCCTTGAAGTGTTGTTTGAACCATTGAAAATTTGTTGTTTGTTCCATAATAAAGACTTTGTTGTATCATTAAAGACTCTAAAGACCATCACTTCAGAAAAATCCCTGAAAACCTCTCTTTGAGGCGCCCCGGCTTCCCGCTGGGCTTAAAGTATACGTCCTATAGAAAAGTACAGCTGTTACAGGCCCAGCGCGCAACAGAACAGTGGTGATTGATCTTCCATCCTCCTCCTCTATGGGAAAACACAAAGCAGTGAAGGTCTGACGTAAAGCCTAGGTAGGTTACTCTGACGGTCTTGATTCTTCTCTTTGGCTCTAGATCTGGGACATCATGAAGTACTGCACTCCATCCAAGGGTGAAGAATCTCTGCAGGCGACGGATGATGAGGAAAACAATTTCTGTTATCTAATCCCTGAATACTGCAGAGTTCCTGCAAGATATCAAACCCTTGGAGAAACCAAGGAGGTCAGTTGCGTTAACCATTACCTTAGGCTCCCAAATTGGTTTTGCGAGTTAACCGTTTGCCGGAAGGGGGTTGGACTGGATGGCCCTTGGAGGCTCTAGGATTCTACGAGGGTCTTTTTCCTCTTCCACACTATGCCTTTCTGCATCTGGTGGCCATGTCTTTCCTTGTTTGGCAGGTCCACCAGGGCTGGGTCACCACCTTGGTGCCCCCAACCTGCCTCAGTTCATGGCGGGGACACCTGAAGAACATCGTCAGCATCCGATACGTCGAAAGATACCGCATCATCCTCACTGCCAGCCATGACTGCACGGTCAAGCTCTGGATGCTGACGGGAAAGCACATAGGTAACGGCACATCCTTTTGAATCTCAATACAACACTGAAACGGGTTTTTCCCAGGTTGGGGACAAAAGCATCCCAATGGGATGGGGATCTGTCCAGAGTTCATCTTCATGGTATGTAGCATCCAGAATCCTCAGAAAGCATTGGTAATGTTTGGGGAATCATTTCCCCAAACCCAGGTCCTAAAACTCACTAAAGATGTATGAGGGTTGAATGAAAAGTAATGCTTCCACCTTCATAACTCCTGGCAGTACTGGTATGCGGCAGGTACTGGCTTGTTCAGTAGACTTTCCTCTACAGTTCTATTTTGGCATGAAACCTTTGTCAAGCTAAGGTGCAACTTGACAGAAGCAAATGCTAGATACACCAGATACAGCTCTGTAAAATCATAGACTCTGGAGACGTCAGGTTACAAGGAAAACTCAGTTTACTAAGCACATCTAAAACACGTCCATCTAGAGCGAGTGACACACAGGATAACATACAGGAAACTGAAAGTCAAAACAGTTCTTTGCAGCTGTTGTGTCTCAGATTAAGCTTCACCTTGCTCTCAAACACCACCAGACCACAGCTGTAAGAATTATAGTTTATTGTAAAGTTTCCAAAGGAAGGCAAAGGTTAAGTCAATACAAAGTTCCAAAGTTCAGGTAAAATGTAATGTACAGTTCCAGAAATCTTTAAGAGAGAATCAAGATAAACAAGGGTCATGAAGCAGGAAGCACAAACTCTGTGCCAAGCAATTTAGCCCAAAAGCAGCACGAAGAAACCCAGGCTCCAAGCCTCCTGTCTCCCAATGCAGGAGCATGAAACTGCTAGCAGAAAGCCACGTTGAAACTGACAGCTGTGAATTGCCAGTGAAAGCCCTAAATACATTTTGCACATCAAAACAATCTATTTTCCCACAATCTACTTTCCCACTGCTCCCTTGACCTGACGCTGACCTAACTTGGCAGCGATCCGCGAGCTCCTTCTCACAGTTTCGTTATCCCTTTGAAGCTGCACATGGCCCTCCTCCTTATCAGCTGCATTCCTGTCCTGTGAGAACTGCTTTCCCAACTCGACTGCAGGCTGAGAAAACTGTGGCTCAGAAAACTGAAACCCATCAGGCTGCTCAGGAGCCTGTTGAACCACAACAGCAGCTGCTTAGCTCTTCTGTTTCAAACGGTTAACTCCCTAAATTTTCTCAGCAGCAGAGAGCTTATCTTAAGGTCACTCAATCACAGCCTCAACATAAACATTTCAGCTTAGCATTACACTGTAAGTGGCATCCATATTGGCAATACAAGAATTACATTTAAAACACACAATATACCTCAATAAATCCTGACAACCTTAGCACTGAATGGTTGTGTTGTTAAAGTGTGAAGTATGGAACCCTGCGCAGGCGGTCGGTCAATGCGACTTAAACAACATGCAGTCATTGATTTATTGACAGCAGAAGGTGTCACCCCAAATTTTATTTATTTATTTATTTATTTATTTACTGTATTTGTATACCACCTTTCTCAGCCTTTCGGCGACCAAAGGAAATTCATCAGAGAATGCAAGCTGTTTATGGTGATTGTGTTGATGTGAGTACTGTGCATCGCTGGGTGAGTAAATTTAAAGATGTTGAGGTGGAAACATCTGACTTGAATGACAAACAAAGAGTTGGACGTCCTGTGACAGCAACCACTGAGTTTCACAAGCAAAAGGTTGGCAGATTGATTCAGGATGATCGTCGTATCACTCAGAGAGAAATTTCAAGCATAATCAGCATTTCACAAGAAGATGTAGGTCACGTTATTGCTTTGCTTGGGTATCCAGAGAGCATTGTGGACTCAAACAATGTTGGACCTGGACCAAACTTGGCACAAATACTCGATATGCCGAAATGTGAACACTGGTGGAGTTTTGGGAAAATGGACTTTGACATTTGGGAGTTGTAGTCGCTGGGATTTATAGTTCACCTACAATCAAAGAGTATTCTGAACCCCTCTAATGATAGAATTGGACAGAGCTATGTTCACTCATCTGATGGATCTGGACCAAACTTGGTACAAATACCCAATATGACTAACTTTGAATACTGGTGGGGCTTTTTGGGGGGGTGGGGGGGAACGTTTCCTCCTCCCTATTGCCAAATCAGTCCCCTTCCTAGGTTCCCCATTGAGGCTGTGACAACACCCTGTACACTCACTGTGTGGCCAGCCAAAGCGCATTGTCCTGTTCCAGGCAAGAGCCATGCAGCTAAGCTGCATTTCTTTCCTCCTGCATCCATTTCCTGAGTGGACCAAAAGCAGAAACTAACATCAAATCAAGCAATTCATTAAATTTCTTGCCATGTCTGAAGACAATTAACAGTGACAACAGACGGTGTTCCTGCATCTATCAGGGAACTGAAAGCTGACTGGCACAACCTGGAGATCACAACCAGATACAGTGAAGACATCTGCCCTTGCGCTGTGCTACTCTGCTGCTGAGTACGCATGCCCAGTGTGGAACACACCTCACCACACTAAAACAGTGGATGTGGCTCTTAATGGGACATGCCACATTATCACGGGGTGTCTGCGCCCTACACCACTGGAGAAATTACACTGCTTAGCCGGTATCGCACCACCCGACATACGCCGGGAAGTGGCAGCCAATAGTGAAAGGACCAAGGCAGAGACATCTCCAGCTCATCCCCTGTTTGGGTATCAGCCAGCACATCAACGACTTAAATCCAGACATAGTTTTCTAAGATCTACAGAGACACTCGCTGGAACACCTCAGCAAACGAGAGTCCAAAAGTGGCAGGCTCAAACCCAGAACCTTAACCAATGGCTGATACCGAATGAGAGACTCCCCCCTGGGCACACAGAGGACTGGGCGACTTGGAAGGCGCTGAACAGACTGCGCTCTGGCACCACGAGATGCAGAGCCAACCTTCAGAAATGGGGCCACAAAGTGGAATCCACGACATGCGAGTGTGGAGAGGAGCAAACCACTGACCACCTGCTGCAATGCAACCTGAGCCCTGCCACATGCACAATGGAGGACCTTCTTGCAGCAACACCAGAAGCACTCCAAGTGGCTAGATACTGGTCAAAGGACATTTAATCAACTACCAAACTCACATATTTTGTATTTTCTCTGTTTGTTTGCTTTGTTCTGTTAGAAATGTAATATAATTGACTGGCTGCCCTGACACGAGAAATAAATAAAGGGAACGGATCCTATTTGGCACCGACTTGGACTAATCAACAACTGGCAAGGCAAAGTTTTGAATATTTGTCAAATGTGGTATAAATCAATCTGTCTGTTCACAATCACGCTCATGTTGGTCTTTGGAGCGCAGACTCTGCTGACATCCGCTTTGGCCAAGGTGGACACACGCCTCTTCCTTCATTCAAAAGTAGAACGCCTGCAGCATGGGCTTGGATGAATGGGAAGAATTTGACTCAAATGGGGATGCTCTGGCAAGTCATATGGGTTCATTCAATGGTGAAAAAAAAATCACCAGCCACGCCATCCTTCCAGTGCCTGCCCTAATTTACTCCTTCCTTGTCTTACAGGTACATTTGGACAGTCCCTATGGAGACTGGGTCTCCAGCACCTGATCCCAGCCGAAGTGCCAGATGAGATCCGCCGGGTTGCTTCCCTGCACACCATGAGGGTCCTCAACGAAGGCCGGCAGCCCCATTGGGAGTGAGTAGACTCTACTGTTGTCACCCAGATTCCAGATTTGACCCCAGAATCCAGGCTGAGTTTTAGTCTGAACTTTACAGGAGATATCCGAGGTCTGATTCTTCCACTGCAGATCCAAATGCAGCCTGAAATGGGACTTGGGCATCTCTGGATTTTCATTGATGGAATTATAGGCCAGGAAAAATCATTCCCGAGACATGTGCCTGATGGCATGGATAACTAAGAGGCCTGCCAGGAATTTCATATCCGGCCAGGCAATAATGATCAGCCCAGATGCCATATCCATAGGTGGCAACGGAGATCAACAGATAATGGCAATGGTGCAAAAGCAGTGACCATGTGCTCGATCCTTTTCTTCCACTGTGACTGTCCATGAGTGCTTATCTATGTGGGTAAATAGCTAAGATTGGCAGGGATACAGTGCTTGATTTAGGAAGTGATATCGAGCTGCTTTTAGGAGGATCTCCCCAGCTAGGGAGATCCCGAGGACTACACCAAAGAGAGTCCTTAAACCTTGGTGAGGCCAGCGGAAGCCAATTTCAGCAATAAAWATATATWTAAAAAATAATGWTCCTCACCAAAGCGGAAGAAGTTCAGCAATCYAGGTGTCTTTATTAGCYATTCAGCTGAGATCGGATGCATTGTAGGAATAATTCCACCACAAGCATGCTGCTAGGGCAGTTACAAGCATATTTATAGAGAAAATACAAAGGAAAACAGTTCAAATCCCCCCCCCCGCCCTCTGCCTCTGGAGGGCCAATCAGCAAGCTTTCCTTGCTTCTGAGGATGGGCGAATCAGAAGCAGGCAAGGCGGGACAACCGCAGACAATAGGGGAAATGATGGGATTACAGATTTGCCGGCTGCGATGATTGTCTTTGTTTCTTGCCAGCAAGATACAATCTCTGTAAACAAAGGCTTTCCTGTCCATGATGAGTTTCGGTTGAGAATGACAACAGGGTGGGCAGCGGACCTCAGGGGATCAACGCTGCCCCTTGTAAATCAATCACAAATGTCCGGTATCTCATTTTGACTTCTTATCTCCCCAGACGAACTCAGAGGGCGAGGAAGGAAATCACAAATGGCTATATTGTCCATGCCTTATGAGTCAATCAAAAATGAGTTCCGAGGGAGGCAGGGGGTCTCCCTCGGGCATTTCCACATTTCCTGGTCACTTTTAGTAGGGCAAAAGTCAAGGGGGAAAGGGGGAAACAAACTACATTTCATACAATAATTTCTTATACAAAGTTCATATAAAATTTCCCTTCCCACTCTCCCATCCCTCCTAAAAGCAGCTCGATATCAGAAGCACAGAGGCAGGGGAAGAGCAGATAAGGCGCAGGGAAGTGTGCACGTTACAGATACCACTCGTGTCTGTGACTGCAAATCCAGGGGTTAGGTTGAACCCAAGTTGCCTGTTTGGGGACCCCTCACAATTTTGATATCCACTAACTGTCTTTGAACCAAGCAGCCCCTTGATATTCTCTTCTTTGATCATTTTCCTGACCTTCCTCTGGATTCTTTCCATCTTGTCCATCTCCACCTTGAACTGCTTTGTTCAGAACTGGACATGGGGTTATAATTCCAGGTTGGACCTGATCAAAGAGGAACAGAGCTTGCCCTTGTTTAATCCTTGTACCATTTTATGCTCTGTTTTATTACGTTATTGTCACTAACTGTGAGAGCCGTTCAGCAGTGGAACTCTCTGCCCCCGAGTGTGGTGGAGGCCCCTTCTTTGGAAGCTTTTAAACAGAGTCTGGATGGCCATCTGTCGGGTGATTTGAATGCAATTTTCCTGCTTCTTGGCAGAATGGGGTTGGACTGGATGACCCACATGGTCTCTTCCAACTCTATGATTCTATGATTCTATTTTATTGTATTGCCATGTTATTGTTTACCATTTTTACTTGATGTTATCATCTGTTTTTGTGTGTATTTTATTTTATTTTGTAATTGCTTGGCCTTTGCCCCATGTTAGCCGCCCTGAGTCCCTTCAGGGAGATGGTGCAGGGTACAAATAATAATAATAATAATAATAATAATAATAATAATAATAATAATAATAATTATTATTATTATTATTATTATTATTTGAAACACGACAGGATGAGTCCACAGCAAACAAGATCACTCTTGCTGGCTGTTGTATTGGATCCCACGTCGGACACTTCCCAAGTGTCTAGGACTGTGTGATGTATCAGCAAATAATCCTAGTAAGGTGGCCTTCTGCAGCTGGCAGATGGTAATTTTGTCAGCGCCAATTGTGTTTAAGTGCAGGCCAACGTTTTTAGGCACTGCACCCAGTGTGCCAATCACCATTGGGACCCCCCTGACTGGCTTGTGCCAGAGTCTTTGCAGTTCGATCTTTGAATCCTCATATCATGTCAGCTTTTCGAGTTGTTTCTCCTTCTCCTTCTCTTTCTCCTCCTCCTCCTCCTCTTTCTCCTCCTTCTCCTTCTCCTTCTTCTGCTTCTTCTCCTCCTTCTCCTCCTCCTCCTCCTCCTTCTCCTCCTCCTCCTCCTCCTCCTCCTCCTCCTCCTCCTCCTTCTCCTTCTCCACCTCCTCCTTCTCCTTCTCCTTCTCCTCCCCCTTCCCCCTCCTCCTCCTTTTCTCCTTCTCCTTCGAGTCAGACTATGACTTGCCTCAATGTACTGGGCTTTGTGTTGTTCCAGGTGAGATCTTAGCAAAACAGAACAGAGTGGAACTATGATTTCCATTGACCTGGACACTAGACTCCTATTTGTGTTGCCTAGAATCGCATTATCTGCTGCATCACACTGTTGGCTGATGTTCATCTTGCTGTCTACTAAGACTCCTCAATTCCTTTCACATGGACTGTTTCCAAGCCAGTTGTCACCCATCCTATATTTGTGCATTTTATTATGATCTTGAAAATCCTGGTGTCGTTGTCCGTTTGAGACATCATAATCAAACCCTGGAATGCTCCACAACTTTTCCCAGGAGAAGGAGATACCCAGGAGAAGGGTCATAGAATCATAGAATCAAAGAGTTGGAAGAGACCTCATGGGTCATCCAGTCCAACTCCATTCTGCCAAGAAGCAGGGAAATTGCATTCAAAGCACCCCTGATAGATGGCTATCCAGCCTCTGTTTAAAAGCTTCCAAAGAAGGAGCCTCCACCACACTCCGGGGCAGGGAGTTCCACTGCTGAACGGCTCTCACAGTCAGGAAGATCTTCCTCATGTTCAGATGGAATCTCCTCTCTTGTAGTTTGAAGCCATTGTTCCGCGTCCTAGTCTCCAAGGAAGCAGAAAACAAGCTTGCTTCCTCCTCCCTGTGGCTTCCTCTCACATATTTATACATGGCTATCATATCCCATCTCTGCCTTCTCTTCTTCAGGCTAAACATGCCCAGCTCCTTAAGCCGCTCCTCATAGGGCTTGTTCTCCAGACCCTTGATCATTTGAGTCGCCCTCCTCTGGACACATTCCAGCTTGTCAATATCTCTCTTGAGTTGTGGTGCCCAGAATTGGACACAATATTCCAGGTGTGGTCTAACCAAAGCAGAATAGAGCATGGGAAGCGTTACTTCCCTAGATCTAGACAGTATGCTCCTATTGATGCAGGCCAAAATCCCATTGGCTTTTTTTGCCGCCACATCACATTCCTGGCTCATGTTTCACTTGTTGTCCACAAGGACTCCAAGATCTTTTTCACACGTACTGCTCTCGAGCCAGGCGTCCCCCATTTTGTGTCTTTGCATTTCGTTTTTCCTGCCAATGTGGAGTATCTTGCATTTGTCCCTGTTGAACTTCATTTTGTTAGTTTTGGCCCATCATCTCTCTAATCTGTCAAGATCATTTTGAATCCTGCTCCTGTCCTCTGGACTATTGGCTCTCCCTCCCAATTTGGTGTCGTCTGCAAACTTGATGATCCTGCCTTCTAGCCCTTCATCTAAGCCATTAATAAAGATGTTGAACAGGACCGGGCCCAGGACGGAACCATGCTGCACTCCACTTGTCACTTCTTTCCCTGTTCCATCTTGGCCCCTTTTCTTCCCTACTCAGGAGCACCCGCAACATTGTCCATGCACTGGGCCAGCAGAAGAGGCAGCAGTCCTTGCTGTTGGATTTCCTGCACGTCAAGAGCGGCAGCACAGGGGACACGGCTGGCAAGATGCGGCAGCTGATCCAGAAGGAGACCCGGATGGCCAAGTACACCGACGAAGAAATCGAAGCCACGTTTCAGAAGTGGGAGGAATCTGGGAAGGAGGTGAGCCTCTCTATGGAGAGAAGAGAGTCATCTACACTGCCGAACGAATGCAGTTTGATCCTGTTGCTGAATGCGACAGAATCCTGGGAGTTGCAGTTTGGTGTCGCACCAGCAGTCTTTGGCAGAGAATCCAAAATACTTTGTTAAACGACAGCTCCCAGGATTCCACCATATTGAGCCACGGCACTTAAAGTGCTGTCAAACTGCAGCATTCCTCTGTTCATGAGGCAGGGCGCTGTGGACAAGCATACAGATGCGGAGTTGTTTGTTCTGCTCCATAGTTGCACAAGGTGGGGAATTCTTTTAGGTAGAACTGCCCACTCCACTTCTGAGTCTGTTCAGGGCAGGCCTGTAGTAGGGGATGGGGATGGGGGGAGGGCTTCAGCCCCCTCCCCCCAATTCTCATGGTGGTCCGCGAGAAGGCCTTACTAGTACATTATTTAAACTGTTATGTTTATTCATATCATGATCTGATCACCATGCTCAATATATCCCATATGCATGGGGGTACTGGGCCAATGATGCAAAAGGTTTGCAAGAGTAGATCCTGAGCCCCCCCCCCCCCCGAATCAAACTCAGCCCTCCCCCCCCCCGAATCAAAATCCTGGCTACGGGCCTGGTTTGCCCCTAGAGAAAGACCCTCTTGGGGAGGGGGACATCCAATTGGGATTTCCTGGTCTAGCTGCCCAGAGGGAGACTCTTGCTGTTGATGGGGGAATGTTAAGAGTAGTGGTGGTTCTCACAAAGCTTTCCCTTAATTTGAGTCTACTGGGATGAGGCTGGTAGCCATGCAGTGGATGGCTTTCACAGTGTTCAACCTTATTTCTCTCATAGTTAGCAGCAACTTGTGCCTGGGGGCTATAGCTCTTAGTGAAAGAGGCATGGACATGACATCTTTCCCCAGGGGATTGCTTCTTGCCCTCCTTTAGGGAAACGGGAACTCCCAAGGACCAAAACACTGTAGATAACTCAAAATAGGTTTTATTGTTCACAAAGAGTTATCCCTTTAAGGCAATAAGCTGGAAGTTTCAAAGGGGTGAAGGAAAATATACATTACAGTCTCTGGTTGTCTCGGGTCCAAGGAGTTTTGCAGCTGAGAAGCTTTTCCAGATCCGTCTTTCTCAATGGCTGTGAATGCCAGAGCAATCCACAACCCAAGTCCAAATGGCCTATGTTTGAAGACACAGGGTCTTCCTCTGGTGCCAAAGGACTGGTTTGAAGGTGCTTGAGACTTCTCAACGTCGTCCAGGTTGATCTGAACATGAAGCATAATTCTCAAGGGTAAGAACCTCAGAATTGGTGCTGAGAGGTAACTTAATCAAGGGCTTTAGAGCCAAGTCCCTCTCTCACGTCCATCTGATAGAAAGCTTGATGGTGGAATGGAAAAGGAAACAATGTCCTGCTCCAGGAAGAGGTGGAGCCAAACAATTGAGCTGAGGAAGCAATATAACTGGTGCAAACAACATTGATTGACAGCTATAAATAACGAATCAATCCAACTATACATTTACAGGGTAAAAAGGCAAAATCAGGCATGAAACAATTCAAATCTTGCAACTTACAGTTCTACATATAGGTGGTGCCACTTGCGCCGTCACAAACTTCTCATTGCACATTGGGACGGGGGTGGGGTGGGGAATGCCAGCTAGCTTATAGAGTCTGTTAACAGGTGTAGGTTTGAGGCATCTTGTGATTATTCTGCATGTTTCGTCCAGTGCTATGTTCACCTGCTTCATGTGAACAGACTTGTGCCAAACAGGGCAGGCATACTCAGCGGTTGAGTAAGATAAGGCCAGGGCTGATGTTCTTTTGGGTCTCCATCCCATGCACTTCCAGTAAGTTTCCACAGGATGTTATTGCATGCAGCAACTTTGTGCATGATGTCCATGCAGTGTTTCCTAAAAGTTAGTGTTCGATCTTTGTCAGTTTGTAATTCATATATGATGTGTGTTTAAATGTAATTTTATATGATAGGATTGTGATTGTAATAGAATTGTATTGCCAGGATGTAGTTTGACACAGAAGGGTTAAACAGCAAAGTAACAAGATGTGAGAATGTGACCCTGAGTTCATGCTCTGTGAAAGATTAGGGAGTGCCAGAGATAAACTTCCTTCCAGCTGCAGTTGCATTTGTTCCTATCTCTTTTGGTTTGTCTTCTTCACGTCTGTCCGCTGATGGTGTATGCTGTCTATTTTGAGCTGCTTAAGTAAAGCTGAAAACCTGCTTTTACCGGAGACTCCAGAGTCCATTATTTTGAGCTTCTGCAGTACTCTGCTAATGCCAACAATATTTAGGATGGAAACAGTGTTTGAGCTCTTAGTCTTCCCACGTAACTTTGAATTTCCTGTTGGTTTTGTGGTTGTGAATGTGGAAAGGACACACTTGTGAGGCCAGCTGGCATTGCTCCTACTGGCTGTTAGTTATTGTGGGAGTTGAAGTCCAAAACACTGTGTGAGGAAAGGAGGTTATGCCAAAGAGTTTGGGAGAGATTTGAATTTCAAGGAGGAATTTGGGCATTGCACAGGGATTCCAGAGGTGCAGAAGGGCTGGAGAAATGAAATTTTCCCCGATTTCTTTTTTCGATTTCAATGAGGACAGAAGAGCGATATCCTGGGCTATGCCTACAAGCAGAAAGTACATCGTCCAATGCTGACGCAGCTGCCGGAAGTGAAAGCCTTAGTTGCCAACAAGGACCATGTAAGTCGGATGGCGCCATGACTGTGGTGCTTCCATGCTTTCTCTGACAACAGCGGTTCACTCCCATTGCTGACCCATGTTCAGAGTTCCCTTCTTTCAGGACATTTCTGCCTCTTTTCAACCACGGAGGGTGATGCATGATGGCCAGAAATAGTTTAACTCATGTGATGAGCTCAATGTCTCTGCATGCTTGGAAAGAGGCTGAAGTCTCCTACGAGGGGGAAATGTCTCAATGTGATGAGGTCAGTTGCCAAAGTTCCCTCCTTTCAGGACACTTCTGCCTCTTTTCAACCATGGAGGGTGATGCATGACAGCCAGAAGTAGTTTAACTCATGTTAACTCATGAGCTCAATGTCTCTGCATGCTTGGAAAGAGGCTGAAGTGTCCTACGAGGGGGAAATATCTCAATGTGATGGGGTTGATTGATGGAGTTTCCTCCTTTCAGGACACATCTGCCTCTTTTCAACCATGGAGGGTGATGCACGATGGCCAGAAGTAGTTTAACTCATATGATGAGCTCAATGTCTCTGCATGCTTGGAAAGAGGCTGAAGTGTCCTACGAGGGGGAAATGTCTCAATGTGATGAGGTCAATTGCCAGAGTTCCCTCCTTTCAGGACACTTCTGCCTCTTTTCAACCATGGAGGGTGATGCACGATGGCCAGAAGTAGTTTAACTCATATGATGAGCTCAATGTCTCTGCATGCTTGGAAAGAGGCTGAAGTGTCCTACGAGGGAGAAATGTCTCAATGTGATGAGGTCAATTGCCAGAGTTCCCTCCTTTCAGGACACTTTCTGTCTCTTATCAACCATGGAGGGTGATGCACGATGGCCAGAAGTAGTTTAACTCATGGGATGAGCTCAATGTCTCTGCATGCTTGGAAAGAGGCTGAAGTGTCCTACGAGGGAGAAATGTCTCAATGTGATGGGGTTGATTGATGGAGTTTCCTCCTTTCAGGACACATCTGCCTCTTTTCAACCATGGAGGGTGATGCACGATGGCCAGAAGTAGTTTAACTCATGGGATGAGCTCAATGTCTCTGCATGCTTGGAAAGAGGCTGAAGTGTCCTACAAGGGAGAAATGTCTCAATGTGATGAGGTCAATTGCCAGAGTTCCCTCCTTTCAGGACACTTTCTGTCTCTTATCAACCATGGAGGGTGATGCACGATGGCCAGAAGTAGTTTAACTCATGGGATGAGCTCAATGTCTCTGCATGCTTGGAAAGAGGCTGAAGTGTCCTACGAGGGAGAAATGTCTCAATGTGATGGGGTTGATTGATGGAGTTTCCTCCTTTCAGGACACATCTGCCTCTTTTCAACCATGGAGGGTGATGCACGATGGCCAGAAGTAGTTTAACTCATGGGATGAGCTCAATGTCTCTGCATGCTTGGAAAGAGGCTGAAGTGTCCTACAAGGGAGAAATGTCTCAATGTGATGAGGTCAATTGCCAGAGTTCCCTCCTTTCAGGACACTTTCTGTCTCTTATCAACCATGGAGGGTGATGCACGATGGCCAGAAGTAGTTTAACTCATGGGATGAGCTCAATGTCTCTGCATGCTTGGAAAGAGGCTGAAGTGTCCTACGAGGGAGAAATGTCTCAATGTGATGAGGTCAATTGCCAGAGTTCCCTCCTTTCAGGACACATCTGCCTCTTTTCAACCATGGAGGGTGATGCACGATGGCCAGAAGTAGTTTAACTCATGGGATGAGCTCAATGTCTCTGCATGCTTGGAAAGAGGCTGAAGTGTCCTACGAGGGAGAAATGTCTCAATGTGATGGGGTTGATTGATGGAGTTTCCTCCTTTCAGGACACATCTGCCTCTTTTCAACCATGGAGGGTGATGCACGATGGCCAGAAGTAGTTTAACTCATATGATGAGCTCAATGTCTCTGCATGCTTGGAAAGAGGCTGAAGTGTCCTACGAGGGGGAAATGTCTCAATGTGATGAGGTCAATTGCCAGAGTTCCCTCCTTTCAGGACACTTTCTGTCTCTTATCAACCATGGAGGGTGATGCACGATGGCCAGAAGTAGTTTAACTCATGGGATGAGCTCAATGTCTCTGCATGCTTGGAAAGAGGCTGAAGTGTCCTACGAGGGAGAAATGTCTCAATGTGATGAGGTCAATTGCCAGAGTTCCCTCCTTTCAGGACACTTTCTGTCTCTTATCAACCATGGAGGGTGATGCACGATGGCCAGAAGTAGTTTAACTCATGGGATGAGCTCAATGTCTCTGCATGCTTGGAAAGAGGCTGAAGTGTCCTACGAGGGAGAAATTTCTCAATGTGATAAGGTGTCTCTCCTTGCTGCCTTCCTCCAGCCCCGGATCTACCACTGCATCCAATACACCGACCTCCACCCCGTGACTGTCCCAGGCATCCCGAAGGTCTTGCTGGAGTCTCCACTCACGCAGGGCATGGACCCGCGGCCCAAGAAGGGCAAGAGGTGGTCGGCCGTCTCCGGCATCATCAAGCCCACCTTGAGAAGCTACATGCTGCGGCGCAAGATGACAAAAACCAGCAGTAAGGAATGAGCCAGTGCCGGCGGCAGGAAATTGGAGGAAACGGTGCAGACTCTGGCTCTGCAGAGGAACGTTGGCTTTGGTGGACCAGAAGCAATTGCAAACTCTTTTGGACTCCTGAGACATTTGCATTCCAGCAATTGGTGTTTGACGAGGCGGGGTTTTGAGCCCTTGGTGCTTAAAAATAAATGGTAATATTGCAGATGGGGTTGTCTTCTCTGGATATATTGCTTGCTTACATTCTGTTATGTAGCACAAGAAGCAGCGAGTGACTCCCATATCATTGGGGAATTGAATGATAGGGAATTGAACTCTTCAGCAGAGAAGGCTGAAGATCTTGCAAAACATTTCCCAAGATTCCATAATAATTCATGTGGTTTCAGATTGTATTAATTCTTGGAGTCCCTGGTGGCATGGTGGGTTAAGCCGCTGAGCTGCTGAACTTGCTGACTGAAAGGTCGCAGGTTCGAATCTGGGGAACGGCGTGTGTTCTCACTGTTAGCCCCGGCTTCTGCCAACCTAGCAGTTCGAACACGGGCAGATGTGAATAGATCAATAGGTACCGCTCCGGCAGGAAGGTAATGGCGCTTCATGCAGTCATGTCGGCCACATGACCTTGGAGGTGTCTACGGACAACACCGGCTCTTCGGCTTAGAAATGGAGATGAGCACCAACCCCCAGAGTCAGAAATGACTGGACTTAATGTCAGGGGAAAACCTTTACCTTTATTAGGAGAAGCGAAATCAAATCTGCTTCATACCTCCTGACCTTTTGGAAACAAGTGAAGTCCTGGCAATGGGATCAGACCTTTGCAGATTGGGCTCTAGACCCATGATGGTGAACCTATGACATGCGTGTCAGCACTGACACGCATGGCTATTTTTGATGACATGCAGACACATGTGGCCACATACAGAAAAATACACCTTATAAGAGCCAATCTAATTCCATCCTTAAATTTGTAAAAGGCTCTACAAATTTAACATATGCACGTTTGAGCATTGTGCACTCCATAACTCAGCATGGATTATACATTTTTCTTATTTACGCTGTAAATATTGCAAAATTGTGGGGGGTTTTTTCTTGAAGTGACACTCCACCTAAGTTATGCTCAGGTTTTTGGCAAATTTTGACACACTAAGCTCAAAAGGTTGTCCATCATGGCTCTAGACCATGGCCATATAGCCCGAAAAAACCTACAACAACCCAAATAAATAAGATGCACCATTAGATTAAAAAATCCATAGGGCAGAAAGGGTTAACACTTCCACATGTGCCGACATCACAATCGGAGACCTGTGCGGTTCATCAAAGTCTTTTAAATGTAAAACAGAGCCAGGAGATGGGATCAGAGTTCTTAACGTCATGGGTGATTGTTCCCTAACATTTTTTTACTGTATTTCTTCCACTGGCGGGGCCGACTGTATTGTAAGAGACTGAATGGCATCGGACTTAAAATACGTTTCTGCCCGAAGGAATTGACGTGAATCTCTACCACCGCAGCCTCCGATTGCCTTTGATCTCTTCATCTCATGATGGATATCACAGTCGCTGAGAGGCGCAGCGCTCCTTGTGACGTGACTGGTGGTGATTTAGGAAGAAGAACATTAAATTATTGCTTCTGGAAAGGCACAAAAGAGGCACCAAGGACTGGATGGCTCTCTCCTTCCTCCTGGAGAGAAGTGACCACCAGTGAGGAACCTCAGAGGTCTGTCCTCAGCCTTGCAGGGCTACTCAACATCTTTTCAAAGGCTTGGATGATGGAATAGAAGGCATGCAGGTCAAGTCTGCTTCCTAAAGCTGCAACCCCTTAATACAGTTCCTCATGTTGTGGTGACCCCCAACCATAACATCATTTTCGTTGCTACTTCAGAACTGTCCTTTTGCTCCTGTTATGAATCGTCATGTAAATATCTGATATGCAGGATGTATTTTCATTCACTGGACCAAATTTGGCACAAATACCTGATATGCCCACATTTGAATACTAATTGGGTTTTGGGGGGTGGGGCAGTGGGATTGAAATGGTCATTTGGGAGTTGTAGTTGCTGGAATTTATAGTTCACCTACAATCAAAGAGCATTCTGAGCCCCACCAATGATGGAATTAAACCACACTTGGCACACAGAACTCCCATGATCAACAGAAACTACTGGAAGGGTTTGGTGGGCACTGACCTTGAGTTTTGGAGTTGTAGTTCACCTATATCCAGACAGCACTGTGGACTCAAACAATGTTGGATCTGGACCAAACTTGGCACAAATACTCAATGTGCCCAAATGTGAATACTGGTGGAGTTTGGGAAAAATAGACCTTGACATTTGAGAGCTGTAATTGTAATCAAAGAGCATTCTGAGCCCCACCAACAAGAGAATTGGGCCAAACTTCCCACACAGAACCCCCATGACAACAGAAAATACTGTGATCCCTCTGACACCCCCTTGGGACCCCCCAGGGGTCCCGACCCCCAGGTTGAGAAACACTGATCTAACTCATTAATAAACAGAACTGGGCCCAGGATCGAACCCTCTTCATAGCACTCGACTCGTAACTTTTTTCCTGGATGAAGAGGAACCATTAGAGAAAAGCATCTTCCCAAAACAAATGGCGAAATGTCACTCTCCAAAATGAGTGAAAAACGACTCCCCACAAGATTAGAGAGACAGATTAGAGAGATGATTGGCCAAAACTCACAAAATGAAGTTCAGCAGTGACAAATGCAAGATACTCCACTTAGGCAGAAAAAACGAAATGCAAAGATACAGAATGGGGGACGATGATGCCTGGCTCGAGAGCAGGACGTGTGAAAAAGATCTTGGAGTCCTTGTGGACAGCAAGTTAAACATGAGCCAACAATGTGATGTGGTGGCAAAAAAAGCCAATGGGATTTTGGCCTGCATCAATAGGAGCCTAGTGTCTAGGCGAAGTAATGCTCCCCATGCTCTATTCTGCTTTGGTTAGACCACACCTGGAATATTGTGTCCAATTCTGGGCACCACAATTCAAGAGAGATATTGACAAGCTGGAATGTGTCCAGAGGAGGGCGACTAAAATGATCAAGGGTCTGGAGAACAAGCTCTATGAGGAGCGGCTTAAGGAGCGGGGCATGTTTAGCCTGAAGAAGAGAAGGCTGAGAGGAGATATGATAGCCATGTATAAATATGTGAGAGGAAGCCACAGGGAGGAGGGAGCAAGCTTGTTTTCTGCTTCCCTGGAGACTAGGACGCAAGGGAGCAATGGCTTCAAACTACAAGAGAGGAGATTCCATCTGAACATGAGGAAGAACTTCCTGACTGTGAGAGCCGTTCAGCAGTGGAACTCTCTGCCCCGGAGTGTGGTGGAGGCTCCTTCTTTGGAAGCTTTTAAACAGAGGCTGGATGGCCATCTGTCAGGGGTGATTTGAATGCAACAGTCCTGCTTCTTGGCAGAATGGGGTTGGACTGGATGGCCCATGAGGTCTCTTCCAACTCTATGATTCTATGATTCTAAGAAGGAGTCATTTGTAAGTTGGATGTTTGTACCTGCCAGATTTTCATCCAGCCCTGCATTGTTTGCTCATTCTGACGGCCAGGTGTCTTTTGTTGTTTTGCCGCGAAGGGCCTTTTGTACTCTCCCTTTTCTTGGAAACACCTCTTTGATTTTTGTCTCCATTAGGTTTTTTTACTGGGCTATATAATGGCACTTGACTCTTATTTGGGCAAAGGCTGGGCCAACCCAGCCACCCAATTTCCAGCCCAGGTCAAACAGCAACTGCAGGTAAGGAGCGGAGAAGAAAAAGATAGTGGAGGTTGGTGGTAGAGGGAAGAGAGGTGACCCCTCACCTGGGATGGAGAGCCATTGCAAGCCCACTCTATGGCCACCAGGTTATAGGGCAGATGTTGCAATACTTCAGGTGGTTGTACACATCTGGATCTGGCAGTGAATCCAGGGCACCAATGAGAGGAATAGTGGATACCCAGAGGACAGGATCTGAACCCCAAATGACCTTAAGACTTGAGGGAGCTGGGCCAAAGCTAACGAAACGAATTTCAACAGGGAGGAATGTCAGGTATGGCACTTAAGCAGAAAAAAATGAAATGCACAGATATAGGATGGGAGACACCTGGCTTGACAACAATCCATGTGAAAGGGATCCAGGAGTCTTAGTGGACATGAGACAACAGTGTGATTTATTTATTATATTTATCATGTCATCAGCAATCAGACATTTGTATTACATTTTTAACAAAAACAGACAAAACACAGAATTTGCAAGCTTCGTAGTTGATTAAATGTCCTTTGACCAGTATCTGGCCACTTGGAGTGCCTCTGGTGTTGCCGCAAGAAGGTCCTCCATGGTGCATGTGGCAGGGCTCAGGTTGCATTGCAACAGGTGGTCAGTGGTTTGCTCTTCTCCACACTCGCATGTCGTGGATTCCACTTTGTGGCCCCATTTCTTGAGGTTGGCTCTGCATCTCGTAGTGCCAGAGCGCAGTCTGTTCAGCGCCTTCCAAGTCGCCCAGTCTTCTGTGTGCCCAGGGGGGAGTCTCTCATTTGGTATCAGCCATTGATTGAGGTTCTGGGTTTGAGCCTGCCACTTTTGGACTCTTGCTTGCTGAGGTGTTCCAGCGAGTGTCTCTGCAGATCATAAAACTTATTCTTGATTTAAGTCATTGGTGTGCTGGCTGATACCCAAACAAGGGATGGGCTGGAGATGTCACTGCCTTGGTCCTTTCACTATTGCTGCTACTTCCCGGCAGATGTCAGGTGGTGCAATACTGGCTAAACAGTGTAATTTCTCCAGTGGTGTAGGGCACAGACACCTTGTGATAATGCGGCATGTCTCATTAAGAGCCACATCCACTGTTTTAGTGTGGTGAGATGTGTTCCACACCGGGCATGCATACTGAGCAGCAGAGTAGCATAGCGCAAGGGCAGATGTCTTCACTGTGTCTGGTTGTTATCCCCAGGTTGTGCCAGTCAGCTTTTGTATGATATTGTTTCTAGCACCCACTTTTTGCTTGATGTTCAGGCAGTGCTTCTTGTAGGTAAGAGCACGGTCCAGAGTGATTCCCAGGTATTTGGGTGCGCTGCAATGCTCCAGTGGGATTCCTTCCCAGGTCATCTTCAGAGCTCGGGATGCTTGTCTGTTCTTGAGATGAAAAGCACATT